GAAATTTTATTATATTTGTAACAGTATATTTTTTAGATACTAGAGTAATTTTTAATAAAAGAGTACAGTATAGTTTTAAGTATAGTTTAACAACAGTAAAGTAATAATTTTAATAAAATAGTACGATAAGTTTTATAGTATAGTTTAGCAATAATAAAACAGTAGTTTTTAGATGCTGTAGTTTAGACAGCAACAATGAAAGAGTATAGTTTTCAGATTCTAGAGTGATTTTTAATAAAATATATTAATAGAAGTTTGTATTCTTTATTATACTTCAATATACTTTAAAACTGAGAAAATATTGCAATTTTGGAACAAAATTCCGGACCAGAATGGTTTATGTAATTCATACAATTTTCTGTATTTGGAAATTTTATTATATTCGTAACAGTATATTTTTTAGATATTTTTTTAGAACGATTTTTAATAAAATAGTACAGTATAGTTTAACAACAGTAAAATAATAATTTTATTAAAATAGTACGATAAGTTTTACAGTATAGTTTAACAGCAACAATAAAACAGTATAGTTTAGCAACAATAATAAAACAGTATAGTTTTTAGATGCTGTAGTTTAAACAATAATAAAACAGTATAGTTTTCAGATTCTAGAGTGATTTTTAATAAAATATATTAATAGAAGCTTGTATTCTTTATTATACTTCAATATACTCAAAACTGGGAAAATATTGCAATTTTGAAATAAAAAATTCCGGACCAGAATGGTTTATATAATTCATACAATTTTCTGTATTTGGAAATTTTATTATATTCGTAATAGTATATTTTTTAGATATATTTTTAGAGTGATTTTTAACAAAATAGTACAGTATAGTTTTAAGTATAGCTTGACAATAGTAAAATAATAATTTTAGTGAAATAGTACTATAAGTTTTACAATATAGTTTCACAGCAATAATAAAACAGTATAGTGTTTAGATGCTGTAGTTTAGACAATAATGAAACAGTATAGTTTTCAGATTCTAGAGTGATTTTTAATGAAATATATTAATAGAAGCTTGTGTGCTTTATTATACTTCAATATACTTAAAACTGAGGAAATATTGCAATTTTGGGACAAAAGATTCAGTTGGGACAAGAAAGAAGTTGGGATCAAATCAGTTGTATGGCAATATTTAATCGGGAGGACTGTTAAATTCAATAAACCATAATAACTTAAAATTAAGTTTGAAGAATGTTCCTTGATCTTTAATTCAAAATTAAAAACCTGAGGGACAACAGCGTTGTACTTTTTTCATAGAAAAAAAAACACATTAAAAAAAACACATTAATTAAATAATGAAATTCGATTCTTTCAAATCTTACGCAACGACACATAATGACAACATGGATCCATGTGGATCATCTCTCCATCATCTTCTCAGATGAAGTTCGTGTAATTTAAACAGAGGTAAATCAAAAGTCTCAGCAAATAAAAGCGTAAAATGGTAGTCAGGGGTATTATATACGGCGACCTTTCGGAAACTGTAAACTCGAATTGTAAGCGCGGTTAGGAGCTGGCGCGGTGCCGAAGAACAAAAGGGTGAAAGGGAGAGGAACTGCGCGAGCGGGGGACGTTTGGATTGGATTCCATCGGTCGGACTCATTCGATTAATTACTTGGCATCAAAGATCGGACAGAGTTTGGCCGGCTTCGGCCGAAGGATCCCCCGGGGACAATTACGTTAACTATCGGCTTTTGTTTGCGAACTCGCGCCAGCAGGATCCACGTTGTTCCCTTTCGACCTTTCGTCTCGATTTTTCTCGAATTCGTCAACAGCCCCCGGGCGGGAGGAAAAAATTAATTGCACCGTTGCAACATTCCCTTGTTTGTTTGCTTTTTCGAGTTTCATTCCCTTACAGCCATTCTCTCGCACTTTTTGAGTTAATTTTCAGTAATATTCGGCGATCAGCGATACTCGACACGCTAAATATGGCATTGATACTAAATATTATGAATATTAATAATTTTAAATTTACTTATATAATTTTAACTTTTTTTAAATTAAAATTCCAATATATGTAATTCGTGGATAATTATTAAAAGCTCGTGTTGAGGCTTGTTTCTTTAGTTCAATAATTTTAGCTTCAGTAGTATTGAAATTGGGAAGATTATTACGAATTATATATTTAATAAATTTTATATAAATTTAATGATAATTAATTTATATGGAATAATATTTTTAAGAATTATATGTAATTATGAAGCTATTGTGATTTTGTAAAAAGAAATGACACGAGAGACGATAGGCTTGTTACAAAATGAATTTCTATTCTGAAAGTTTAAAATTATCATTACGATCCTGTGTTTTGTGAAGTTTATAATTTATCGCGCAATGCACTTCGATGTTCGTTGAAGAAGAACAGTGGCAATGTCTTTGAGTTTCTATTTACTTTTTAAGTTAATTTTCCAAGATTAATAATAGTTACGATATTTAAGTGTCCGAGTATTATAATAAGAGTCACTGTATTTCTTTCACATGACACGTTGCTTACCTATTATTCCACATTTACTTAATTCGTTTGCATCACGAAGTGAAATATTCCACGAGCAAATTATAATTCGCGATTAAGAATCTTATATTTGTTAAGAATTTATATTTGTTAACATATGAAAGGCAGAAGTCAATCAGTGTGAGTAAAATTAGTTGATCGTATCGTGCAAATATCCTTTTGTTATTAAAACTATCAGTCGCTAGAACAGTTTAATTAGTGGTTCTAACAATTTAAATAGAAAATAATATTTTTAATAGTTTTAATTATTATTTTATAATATTTTATATCTTAATATTTTATTATTTTATATATAATTCAATAATATTTTTAATAATTTTAATTATGCTGCAGTGATCATGATGACCAAACTGTTCTGTTGACTGAAAATTTTGTTAGAAAAACATGGTATTTTCATAGCACAAATTGTTCTGAATCAAACTGATTAGATTACTGAGCTTCCCATATAACATTACATATTCTCTCTCGTGTCTTGACATTTCATTTTAATCTATGTTAGTATATTAATTGCATTTAGTATTAGTATTAGTATATTAATTGCAATTGCATATATTAATAGTATTAGTATTAGTATATTAATACTTAATAGTATTAGTATTAGTATATTAATACTTAATAGTATTAGTATTAGTATATTAATACTTAATAGTATTAGTATCAATATATTAATACTTAATAGTATTAGTCTTAGTATATTAATACTTAATAGTATTAGTATTAGTGTATTAATACTTAATAGTATTAGTATTAGTATTAGTATATTAATACTTAATTAGTATACTAATATTTATATATATTAATAGTATTAGTATATTAATTGCTTAGTATTAGTATTAGTATATTAATTGCAATTAGTATTAGTGTATTAATTGCAATTAGTATTAGTATCTAGAAGTAGCAATTTTAAAAATATTAATTGTAATTAATGTTAGTACCAACGGTCAGTAGATATTTGTTGATAATGTTGATAATGTTGATAGTACTAAAGGACAGTAGATATTTAAATATCGAGATTTGACAAATTGTAATCGTGAGTGAAGTCGAAAGGAAGGAAATACGATGATCAAAAGGATCGAACCAAAAGTCAACAGTCTCGGTGCTGTCGAAATCGTTTGTTCGAGCGCTTTTATCAAGTACCTTTCGTTCAAGCACCTTTCGAAACGACGGTGGCGACCTATCGCGTCGAAAACAAGAAAAATACGCGACGATTAAAAGGCTCGGACTAAAAAAAAAAAAAAAAAAAAAAACGGGGCCATCGAAATCTTTTATTTTATTCCCCGACGAGTGATATCGGAGTCGGGAAGATAGACGAGAGAGAGAGAGAGATTTACCGATTTCTATCGTCGCGCGTTCCTTGTGAATTATTTATCCTCCGACGCCGAGGGAATAAACGCCAGCGACGTGCCCGTATTTTTCGCGTCTGTGCACTCGCGGATAAAAGAAACCAATTTTATTCCCGGTTATTTCTTACATTTACTCCTGTCCGTTCGTACACAGTTTACGAGCTGAAATAAAATGGATGCGTTTATTCGTCGGATCACCAAGTTATCAGAAGCTCTGGAAATATTTGATGTGTTATACTTGTGCGATTTCTCTCGATCCAGAGGACGTACCACTCTGTTCGTCTGCCTGTGTGAACAGCACGCAAAAATAATTGGGAGATATTCGTTATTGCCATTTATTAAAAAAAAGAAAAAAAGAAAAAAAGAAAGAAAGAATTAGAAGATTGACGTCGAAGTAATTTTAATTGATGATAATGGAAAGAAAAAGATAAAGATGATAAAGAAAAAAGTTCTTTCCATCCGAGGTCTGACTTTTGCCACGTGGATGTAATTATTATGGGACTCAACCCATAATAATTTTTCAAATTCCTTAACTTAACCTTTAATTTTAACTTAGCTTAATTTATTAACTTATTTTAACTTATTTTATTGTAACTTACTCAACTTATTTTATTTTAACTTGTTTAACTTGTTTTAATTTCATTTTTTTTTTCAATTTCAGAACTTTAATTCATTTAAAGTTTGTTCCAACGTAATTACGTGTAATTAGTGCAAAGCACCACCGGATATATACTTCTCTGCACAATTTTCTGCATCAAGCCTTGCCTTTGTAGCTTCGTTTTCGAAAAATCTCGCCGTCAGCCAAACAGGATCAACTTCTTGCGCTGGAAAGCGCTGCCACGCACGTCGAGAATCATTCGTCCCAAATTGCGACATTTTTCCAGTTTTAAATTATATTGAAATACAACCCAGGCAACAACAAATGATAAATTTATTGCTTCTTAATAATTTTTATCTTAATGATACCGTATCGACAAGTTCAAAAGAAAAAGACAGCGACGAATCGTTGTTTACACGGTTCGGTCACTCGTTACGGTCCGCGCAACCAGCTTGCCAGCGCAAGGGGTTGAACAATTGAACGCAAGCACTAACGAGCACGCAGACTGTTGACGTTACGGAGACGAATTGACGAACTTCCTCTGTGCTTTGCAACGAAATTTATTACACGTACAATTACGTATCAATGTTAGGTTGTTAGTAGAGCGCGGATAGATGCTAGCATCTGGCAATCACGTCCATAGAAAAGACTATTATCCTATAATTATCCTCGATTATATTCCCGAGTTCGGTAATTTCCTCTGATATCGTGCTATCCATCCTTCCGCGCGATTGTTCGTGCATCTCGATCGATGGAATCGTGGAAAGCTGTTGCTGTTGCTGTCGTCGATCGGTGCAGTCGTCGAGATTGCAGTCGTAGGTCGGTGGTGTGGATGGATGGTTTAGAGAACGTAGTACGGCGCCGAGTAGGCAGCCGCGTAGTAAGGGTAGCCGGCATAAGCGGCGTAAGGGTAGCTGGTGTAAGCAGACGTGTAGGCGACCGGGGCGGTGTACGCGCTGTAAGCGACCGGTGCGGTGTAAGCTGCGCTCAGCAGCAATCCTCTCTTGTCGCGGATCGCGGTCTCCGTTTCCTCTGCCACCGCCGATTCCGGCTTCGATGGCTCGATCGACTCCGTTTCCAGAGGTTTCGCTAGAGCTACGCCGACCAGGGCGAGCAAAACGATAGCCTGGAAATTAGAAACGAGTTAATGTTAAGCATTTGCGCTAGACAATTGATTGCGGACCATAACGAGCGACCAAAACCGTACACGATAACTCGTCGCTTTCTTTCTGAACTCGCCGGTATGACATATCACTGGATAGAAATTATCGAGAAGTAACAAATTATTTGTTTTGCTCAAATATATACTTAAAGCTGAGAAAATATTACAATTTTGGAACAAAAAATTCCGGACCAGAATGATTTATTTATAATTAGATAAATTTTCTATATTTGGAAATTTTATTATATTATTATATTATTATATTCGTAACAGTCTATTTTTTAGATACTAGAGTGATTTTTAATAAAATTGTACAATAAGTTTTACAGTATAATTTAACAACAATAATAAAACAGCATAGGTTTTAGATACTGTAGTTTAAATAATAATAAAACAGTATAGTTTTCAGATTCTAGAGTGATTTTTAATAAAATATATTAATAGAAGCTTGTGTCCTTAACTTATTAACTTTTTCTTGTATCTTGCATTTTAATTTCTTTGCTACGGATATTATACTTTACTAGTCGCTAGTTTTAGTATCAATCGGAATTAGTACCTTTGCTTGAGTATGTGAGATACTTAGAGACTCAATTACACATGAGAAACCTCGGTTAGAGGAAAATTATCAGAGAACATTGCAATTTTGGAACGAAAAGTTTTTGACGTGTTAGAGGTTAACCACTTGCACTGGCAACTGATTGCGGACCATAACGAACGACCGAAACCGTACACAATAATTCGTCGTTTTCTTTTTGAACTCGTCGAATATCATACGATATCACTGAATCGAAATTATTGAGAACTAATAAATTTGTTATTTGTTTTGCTTATGTATTTGGTTATACTTAAATATAACTTAAAACTAAGAGAATATTGCAATTTTCAAACGAAAAGTTCTCGACGTAGATGGCTAGAGGTTAACTATTTGCGCTGGCAACTGATTGCGGACCATAACGAGCGACCGAAAACCGTACACAATAATTCGTCGTTTTCTTTTTGAACTCGTCGAATCACGATATCACTGGATCGAAATTATTGAGAAGTAACAAGTTTGTGTTTTTCAAATATATTTAAAAACTATAATAAAACGTTGCAATTCTGGAACGAAAAGTTCTCGACGTCGTTCCAGCGCAAGAGGTTAATCTAGCATAAGCAATCTCTGAATAGCCTATCTGTCTGGGAATTGATCTCTCTTCTCGTCTCCGCCATTGAACCCGACCGCGGCACTTCGAAGTTTCGAACGGTAGAAACGCGTTATCGTTCGGCTGGAAGGTTTACTCACCGCGATGCACTTCATTTCGTAGATTGTTTCGCTTGACGTGAAGCTTGGTGGTTGGTTTGGAGAGTCGGATTGATGCTCGAAACAGCTCGGCAGGCCTCTTTTATACCAACATTCGACGGAGATCGACCAACGGCCGCGCGTCGCCGTTACGTGCGCCGATTCCCGATCGTTTACCTTCGCGTAATCGCGCATAATTATCAAGCTCGGCGGCGTTGTCACGGGGAACGAGCAGGCTTGCTCAGATTGAGCAACCTGCGTCCTTGGACATTGTCCAAAACCGAATCTTTCGACGTTTCGTAAGTTTTTTTTATTTTATTTGTTAATTACCGATTTATGCTTTATCGAGCCTACTCTCGCTGGGTTATCGTTTGGCGATTCCATTTGAAGATCGGCGGAGAAAGTTTCAAAGTGCCTCAGTTATCGCGGAGGACGAGGTCGACCTTGAGGAGGTCGACGCGAGCACAGATCGAGGCGCGGGGGGCTAGATCGCCTATTGAAATTCTATTTGGGCACGTTGCGCGCAACCTCGCCGCTCGTGATCATTTTCACGACGCTTTAGCCATTCCGTCCTTGTGTCCAATCGGTCCTCGTTTGCGGCCACAAAGCCCAAGTAGTTCCCCCCTTTAGTTAGTCGACCATTGATGAACGAGAAGGCGCGAAGGGCTCGCCGCTGCCTAATCGTTTATTCGAAAGCTGCACGATTTAACCCCTCTTTTTGTTTCGTTGAGACGATTCTTCCGTGCTAACCACGGCTGACCCTGAGCAATACACCGACAACGACAACTGGAGTGGAAAATTTTACATCATGTGATTTGAATTACATTTGGTAGAACCAGAATTGTCTTGATAATCTAGACGTGTGTATTGTTCAAGGATAACGAATGAACGACCGAGCAGTTAGATAGACAGGCGGTATTTTTTTTTTTAATAAAGGGGTTTAGAGTCGCATTGACTACGAGGTCTTTAGCGACTTTAACGTGCTGGAATTCTCCCTTTATATCTGGTCGAGTAGTTGGGTCTCCTTTAGGTAGTTGATAACGTTTTTTTTTTTTTTTTTGTTGTTTCTGGTAGGTTAGAGCGCTGTTTGGGTTTAATCCGTATTTACTTTTTTTGGTTTCGGTATTTTCTGCATTCATGTAACAGGTGTTTGCACAGGCGGTATTGTCTCCCTCGGTACGAAAAGCGGAGACACGAGTTCATACGTTTCGAAAGTTCAAGCGAGTGGCGTTTAAAATCGAATTTCGACGGCCGACGAGTCCGTTTTTCGTTCAGCTGGTTGAAACTGTCCGGGGTACGAATTTAAAATATCTTTGTGCCTAATATAAGTCGGGGTTAAGTCCATCTTGTATTAGATCTATTAGAGGATTTAACCACCTGCGCTGGGATTGCGGACCATAACGAGTGACCGAACCGTACACAACAATTCGTCCCTTTTCTTTTTCCTTTGAATTACATCGGTATATCACCGGATAGAAATTACCGAGGAGTAATAAATTATATCATTTGTTTTACCTATTTAGGTTACATTTAATACTTAAATATTTACTTAGGTTACATTTAATACTTAGATATCTACTTAGGTTACATTTAATACTTAAAACTGTTGCAATTTTGGGACAAGAAATTCTCGACGTGCGTGGCACGAGGTTAATCCGGGGATTTAGCCGCGTAACGATGGCCAACTAACGTTCCACGTTCTACAAACCGTCGTGCAGCTTCGCGATGCGTACAATGAGCGCATGCACGAACGTCGAACGTCAAATGTCGAACGTCGGGGCGTCGAGCGTCGCTCGAAGCGCCGTGGAAAAGGAGAATCAGAGCCGCTGGAGTGCCACCATTGTTTCGTCGTTCTTTAGAACACTTTCCGCATTAACGTCGTGAATTGGTACAATGCCGGGAGCTTTCTCTTTCACTCCGCTTTTCCATCCCCCCGTTACCCTCGCCGCCATTTACTTCCACCATTTCTTCTTCCTTCTTACCCTCGCTCGCTCATCGACTCTACTTCTATTTTCCGATCTCTCTTTTTTCTTTTTTTCTTTTTTTCCTTTTTCTCTCAGGTCGTCTCGTTCGTTGTTCTCGCCTCTCATTTTTTTCTTTTTCTTTTTAGCAATGGGAGGAACAGAATTTATTTATTTCATTTTTTTTTTTTTTTTTTTTATAGAGAATATCAGACAGATTTTTTTTGATCTTCGTGATAAAATGAAATTGAATTAAAAATATTATATGAAATATTTATTTCATTTTTCTTCTCTTTTTCTTTTCGATCTAGAGAGTCAGACGTTCTTCATGATAAAAATTAGTAATGAAATTAAATAATGTTATGAGAAATATTTTTTTTTTTTTAACTCTAAAGAGTCGGACGTTCTAACAAAAATTGGCAACAAAATTGAATCAAACTACAAGTTCGAAAATTTCGAAACGACGACAGTTAATCCTCTTGAAACCGAGAAAGCCACCTTGTCGCTTTTATAGAGATAGTTCGTCACACTGACACGAACCCAACGCCAATTCATCGGTAAATTTTCAAAACTGCCGCGTTTGAAACGTTGCTGGGTAATTAGACGGCGCGTTGCGCGTTTCCCTTTTTGACCAACGAGCAGGCAAAAATTGAATCTCTCTCGCATTAACGTAATCGAGTTAAAAGACCCGCGAGATATCTCCTCGCGTTTTCTTTGCGAGCCGGCGCACGCAATATACTAGACACGCTACTTAAACGTCATCGTTTCCGCCCTCTCGACGTTTATATTGCCCACTTTGCCGCGCGGCGCGCATCGCGCCCGTCGTCGTCGCCGTCATCGTCGTGGTTTCGCTCGTCGTCATGGTCGTTTCCCCGAGAATAACGAGTCAACAAGGTCTGACGAGAATGACCTTCTTCTTGCCTTTGAGAGAAAGAGAGAGAGAGAGAGAGAGAAAGCTTTTAGCTCGCGACTTTACAGCCTCTTGAAAACGGCATCTTCGCCTCAATCCTCTCGCTAAATCTTGCGAGATTTCGATCGTTTGACATCTTGCAACATTTTCTCAGTTTCAATTATATTGAAATGTAACCCAGGCAAAACAAATGATAAATTTATTAGTCCTTGATAATTTCTATCATACCGACGAATTTAAAAGAGAAAGAAAGCGACAAATTGTTGTGTACGGCTCGGTCACTCGTTATGGTCCGCAATCAGTTGTCCAGCGCAAGTGGTTAAAACCTCTAATAGCCGTAACATCTACGGACTTAACCTCTCGCACTGGAATCACGCGCACGTTGAAAACTTTTACAATATTCTCACAGTCTTAGGTATATTTAAGTATAATCCAAGCAACACGAATAATAAGCTTATTACTTCTCAAGAATTTCTATCCAGTGATATCATACCGACGAGGTTAAAAAGAGAGCGACGAATTATTGTTTACAGTTCGGTCACTCGTTATGGTCCGCAATCAATTGTCTAGCGCAAGTGGTTAAACCCTCTAATAGACGTAAAATTTACAGACTTAACCTCTTGCGCTGGAATGACGTGCACGTTGAAAACTTTTTGTCCCAAAATTGCAATATTCTCTCAGTCTTAAGTATATTTAAGTATAATCCAAACAAAACGAATAATAAACTTATTACTTCTCAAGAATTTCTATCCAGTGATATCACACCGACGAGGTTAAAAAGAGAGCGACGAATTATTGTTTACAGTTCGGTCACTCGTTATGGTCCGCAATCAATTGTCTAGCGCAAGTGGTTAAACCCTCTAATAGACGTAACATTTACAGACTTAACCTCTTGCGCTGGAATGACGTGCACGTTGAAAACTTTTTGACCCAAAATTGCAATATTCTCTCAGTCTTAAGTATATTTAAGTATAATCCAAACAAAACGAATAATAAACTTATTACTTCTCAAGAATTTCTATCCAGTGATATCACACCGACGAAGTTAAAAAGAGAGCGACGAATTATTGTACACGGTTCGGTCACTCGTTATGGTCCGCAATCAGTTGCCCAGCGCAAGTAGTTAAACCCTCTAATAGACACAAGATCTATGAACTTAACCCCGACTTATATAGACACAAAGATATTTTGAATTCGTATCTCAGACAGCTTCAACTAGCTGAACGAAAACGGTCTCGTCGTTCGCCGAAATTCGATTTTAAATGCCATTCGTTTGAACTTTTGAAACGTATGAACTCGTTTCTTTGCTTTTCGTACCAACGAGAGAGACAATACCGCCTGTCTAGCCAACTGTTCGTTCGAAGTTCAGGTAGTTCGGACAACTGCGATTATCCTTGAACAATGCACACGTCGTTTATCGAAACTCCGCTTCGTTGAAACGAATTTTTAGTTGCTACGTTCTTCCAGATATGTTTCTTACGGTTTCAAAAGCGAGAACGTGTTAACTATAATTAGTTAATAATTATTAATTTCTAACGACGAGCTCGAAAGAAAAAGAAAGCGACGCGAATTGTTGTGCACGGTTCGGTCGCTCGTTATGGTCCGCGCAACCAGTTGCCAGCTAAAGGGGTTACAAGTTGAACGGTTATTTTAGAGAGAAGCAAGTATTATTAAACGCCGCGTGTGAAATGTTGCTAAAAAAAAAAAAATTGACCTCTGTATATATCACGTACATTCCTATTGCATACTTCATACAAAAAAAAAAAAAAAAAATTTGTACTGTAGAAAAAAATTGGTTTGTAAAAGTTAAGTTATCGTTTCCAGTGTTTGAGCTGACACTAGAAAAATATGGAACGATCGAAAGCTGTCATGTAAATATATTCCTGATTGATGGCGGAAGCGGCGTGAAAGAGCAGAGTGCAAGGTGGGGGAGGCGGTATCGAGGTAGATCGAGGATCGATTGGCCCCTGCCGAGGTGTTTTTCAGGCACGTGTATGCAAAGATTCAACGGTACAGCGATCCTGGGGCCTGTAATGGATTCGCGATGATCCGAAGCTACGCGATATTCGATTCCTGTTCGTATTTGCTCGACGAGATCCGTAATCCGTGAAAATATTGGCTCCCACGTCACGCTTACACTCGTATCCGGCTAGAATTCGTCGCGCTTCGCGGCGACGATTTCGTGTGCCTTTGAAATGTTCTCGCCGATCTCCTCTCTCACGGTGATCGTGATTTGAAAACGAAGCGGGACAGAAAATATGAATGTTGCAAATGTACATACGT